CATTTTTATACCTGATAGATTTAGTTTTAACTTTTTGTTTGAATGGTCTCTTCTGAATATTGCCTAAAACCTGACTGGTTCTACTTGATGTTTCTTTGTGTAATTAATCATAATTGACTATTTCAGAAATATGAACATACCAAAATTCATAAAGACAGATTGGTGGGGGCATGGAAGAGCCATTCTAAAATTCTCTGCTACTGAAGCAAGTGGAGAAAATGCAGAGGAAAAGGATAAGGGAGGTGGTATCATTGAGTGCTACATCTCTTCTGTAATGATCAGGTATGTGATTTAACTGCAATTTTGAGATATTGTAATGTTTAGGTAATTTGTTGTTTTCCTGGAGGTGATAAGCAATCTGCTGTAAAATATAGATAGATATATGATATGCATTCCTACTCTGCCAGAACATGATCAATATATTGTGGCCCAAAGAAATTCATAGAGTAAAAGTCCTTTAATTATATGAAGCACTCTCACATTCCCCATCCATCTTTACCATTTCATCTTGCCATTGTTTTTTATACATATATGAATGTATTTCTTACATGAATGATTGGTTGTAAATAGAAAAAAAATGTCAAAAACTGTATGTTTTACTCTCAACTTTTACTGTTCCCTCCACTCCTCTTTCATTGAAAATAAATTCTTCCATGTCGAACTTCATTTCTCTTGAGACATAATTGAAGAGCTTAATTAATCATGCCCCCCCCTTTTCTTCTTTCTTCTAGTGTTGTAAGTTTTCATTTCTTCAGTTCAAATTTGAAATAACTGTTTTGTAATTACTCACATTTATGCACTTATGACCAACCATATCTGACCAGTATTACATGTAAAAGCACTATATCTCTTGTGTAAGTAGCCTAATGAAGCTTTAAGATACAGATTTCCATTTTTAGGCCACCTTCCCCTTAGCAAAATTGTATTTAAGTGGCCTAGTTTGTAACTATTGCCTATTTCTAAATGGTTATTTTCCCAGGAGAGCTTCCAAGATACAGAGTTGCAAATGAGTGAGTTTACTCTATAAGAAATGAGAGAGATATGGCAATGTTTCTTATATTTGATATATAAAGTAGTAAATGTTATTTTAAAACCAGACTTTGTTCACAGTCTTTAAATGTATAAGTGACATTTTTCTTTGTAGTTCTAGTGTCATTGTTCAGTCAATAAGGAATTGAATTTTTAAGATTACTGATGCTATTTATTTTAAAAGGTTATGCAAAGGTATAATAATAGAATATTGATGTAAAATGAACCTTGGTAGTAATGCTAACATTTTAACTTTATCAGAGAATATACAGAGAAACGCCGAAAGAAGAATGATGAACAAGAAGAAAGTTCCTGTGGTAAAGCTGTTGAAGAATTGAAGGTAGGAACATTAAAATTGTATTTACCATATTATAAAGTTACTTTTTAACCCCTAAAAGTTGTTCAACATTGTGGAACATCCATTGTAGAAAGAGGTGGTTGGAAGTCCAGAACACTTTGCTATTTTGCATCCCATCCCTAAGTTATTATTATTATAATAATAATAAGTATTATTATCATTATTGTTGTTGTTGTTGTTGTTATTATTATGTAACAAGACACAGAGTACATTGGGTAGTACATGTACCTGAAGCTAATGAATTAAAGTAAAAAATAACCCACCCTTAGTAAATTAAAAATGGTAATATTTTATCACTTATTTAATTTTTTTATTTTCTCTCTTTTTTCTTTGTTACAATCATTGTATTTCTGTCTCTTTTTTTTTGCCTTTTAAATGTTTTTTAATTCTTAGTGTTTACTTCCTTCTATGTTTTACTTTCTTTGATTCTTCTTTTTCCTTATTTATGATTCAGTGTTTTCTGTTGAAATAGAATATTTGCTAGTTTTCTGCTGTAAGAAATTTCTATTATGAGAACATGATTAATACTAGTTTTACTTGGAAGTGTGCATTTCTTAATTTCATGAAGTTTGTTAAATGAGTATCTTTGTAGAGTAGCAGGAATATATATTTTTGTTTCAAATAATATTTCTTTTATATATAGCCATTGTACAGTATGTCTGATATATTGACCTACCATTGTATTCCAGACTGAGGCATATCCTCCAGATGTACCTTTAGAGACATGGCAAGACTGGTTGATTCACTGGGAATTATGGAAGGAAGTGTACATCTCACTCTCATGGGTGAACAAATATAGAAAACTCTGCAAACCAGATTATATCCAGTGGTATGACTCATATATAGAAAATTACCCTGATATTTTACCTTTGATTTTAGAGGGCCTTGGAGAGGTAACAGAAGACCTTGAGTTTTTCCAAGAGGATTCAGTTATGGAAATAGAAGCACAGACACAAAAAGGAAATGAAAGTAACACTGATATCAGTAACAGTGACAAAGCTAACCCTAATCTAGAAACAAATGAGAAGGCAGACAAAAAAAAGAAGTTAGATGCTCTCTATGACAAACATTCAGAAGATAGATACTGGATACATTTGAGAAGGTTCTTGTTACAGAGTGGTATAACTAAAACAGACAAACTTGAAGAGTTTTTCAACAGATCTGCAAGCCTCAAATATTGTGACACTGAAAATTACGACAATGCAAATGAGGGTGCTCTGGAGGAAGAATCCTGTTACAATACTTCAGAAAATGATTCAGTATTGCTGAATACAGACAAAGATTCAAAAACTGCAGATAACTTTCCAATGTATAGCAGTGAAGAAGACCTACCTTTGAACAGAAACACAAGTAAGGCATCTAGAAAATCAGATGATGATTCTTATGAAAATGAAGAACATATAGAGAAGAAATTTAAAAGTGCAGGTGAAGAACAAGATAAGACAAATAAAGAAGAAAATGAAAATGAGTACTCTCTCCCAACAAAGATGCTGAAACAAGAAGAAACAGATGATTTTGATATGGATGAAGTACCACAAGTAAAGGAAAGAGAACCCAAGAGGAAAAACAGAAAGAAGCCAAAAAAAGCTGGGCTAAGGTAGGTTTTAAGGTCAATATGCATACATGCATATACGTGTGTGTGTGTGTGTGTGTGTGTGTGTGTGTGTGTGTGTGTGTGTGTGTGTGTGTGTGTGTGTGTGTGTGTGTGTGTGTGTGTGTGTGTGTGTGTGTGTGTGTGTGTGTGTGTGTGCGTGTGTGTGTGTGTGCGTGCGTGCGTGCACAAGGGGTGGGGGGGTGAATATGCTTATGTATGTTTGTAGGTACTCCCATACATGTGTTTCTTTATAGCTAGTATACATATATATGTGTAGGCATATTATAGTTGTACATGACTCTAACTCAATATCAACCAGAGCCAAATACAATACTGAACAGTGCATCAGGGTGTATGTAGAGTCAGTTGCTCAAGGGAACATTAGAAGCATGTAAGCATAAAATGACCCCACTCTCTATGCTCTAAACTGTGACATAAACATTTTTTTAGGTAATGCACATTTTGGGGGCTAAACAGTAAATTCTATTAATGCTGATGTAGAAAGAGGACTAGATTAGCTATTTAAGTGAAAATACTGGTTAAGAAAGGAAATTTACACAGTTCATTGTAGTACTGAATGATCAGTATTCTATATTTGCATTTTGATTTTAGTATATTATAAGTTTTATAGATGAATTAGAACTTTAACTCATGGCACAATAAGTGTGAAGGTTGTAGGACTAAATAAAATCATTATCATATTTCAATAGGAATCCTTATTGTTACTTTGATTTTCTTTTTCAATGTTCATATTTTCATGCATGAATTATACATAAAGTTCTTAAAGTTTATGTTCATTCTACATTCTTCTTGATGAAATGATGACAAAAGGTATATTTATTTATTTTCAGTCATACATCAGGGTTAGCATGGGCTGTACAGATTCTTCAGAAGCATAGTGATGGCACAGGAAACACAGATGAAAATGAAGCACATATAGAAAGCCTGAGAGATTCTGAAACTCAAGTTGCTATACCATTGGACAGCTCCATTGCTAGTTTCAATAACGAGCTTAGCAAGAACACATGTCCTGATATCTCCTCAAGTTTGGATGGGAAACATTCTAAAACAGAGGTCTCGCCAGTGAATGAAAGTGTTACTAATACTAAATCTAATAACTGTAAAGGAAGTACCAGTAACAGTACTTTAAGTCTGGGAATAGTGGAAAATAATAGTGATCTTCAAACATTACAAGATTCAGAACAGATGGTAACAAGCAGTAAGGACGACAAGAATGAGATGGAAAAGCAGAAAAGTGGAGAGTTTGTTGATTCAAAAATATATGGATTGCTGAAGTGGTTCACTGATAATTTTTTGATTCATGGCATAAGAATTCTGTATCCATTCATTTCAGGTAATGTAAAATTTTATCAGCATGTTTTTCATGGTGAAAGTAAGCATATTGTAATATATTAGTATATTATATCTGAAATTAATCTCTAAAATCAAACATTTGATTCTCAATTTCAATTATGATAATTTTTATAATTAAAATTCAGATTTCTAGCAGTCAGGAGGTTTTGACCTTTTTAGTTTTAGAGGATTTTTGTTTCTTCTTTTTTTATAGATCTTTGTGAAAATTTACTGTAATTTCTGGAGAAGGTTCAGCTAAAGAGTAAACTGGACAGAATGTAAGATACATAAGTGTGTACATCCTAACAGTGAAGATTAATCCAGTTCTTTGTTTTCACTTAGGAAATTATTTTTTATAGTGTGTTTATAATAGTATGTTTTCTTTTATTTTTTTTATAATCATTATCTCACAATAAGATGAATTAGGAATCCACTGATAAGTTTAGAATATAAGAGGCAGTGGGACATTGATAATTGCAAAGTTGAACAATGTTTTCCTATTACTTATATGATTCTCCAGAATAAGAAAAATCCTGTTAGGCATTGATTGAAAATGCTGTACAGAAATCACATTGGTCATGATGGCTCTGGGAAGGGGTGAAAATTTTGCCTGCCAGGACCATATTTAACTTCATAAATATTAGGGATAGAAATATAGATATATGATGTATGATGCTTTCTTGTAACACTTGTATCCCAGATACCAAAAAGAGTTGGGACTTCAAACCACTTGCCCCCCCTAATCCCTCATTGTTGTTGTGTTGGGGCTTAGGAGATGGAGACTGGGCCCAATATAGGAGATCACCCCAATATCAACCCTCTCCTCAACTAATTTTGCATGGTCTTCTATTCTCCCCCTTACCTATTCCTTCTCATCATCCCCTTCTGTCTACTTCGTAAGATGTGAGAATTGTGCTAAAAGGATGAAAGGCCGGCTTTGTGTAAGTCATGATCATCCTCCAGGAGCTATAGGCACAGTACTCCCTTGGTTGATTGCTTAGCCCTTACCCCTTACTGGGACCTTGAGAGGTAGACCACTTCTTCTCCCTATTTCTTTCAGGCTCACCTTGGCCAATAATCTAAATTTGATTTCCTTCCTCCTGCCCTTGTCCTTCTACTGATTCCACCTTTGCAAACCTTTTGAGTATCGTTTTTGGCTGAGCCAAGTGGGATTGATTCTCTGTGATTCCCCCTATAGCCCTATACCCTTCTCTTTGAACAATGCCTCCAAAAACAAGTAGGCAAAGTTTCCTTTCACAGTCATTCTGATTATTCACAACTTGTCACAGTTACATCTGAGTCCCAAGCTCATTCATTATCTAACCTGACTGTCCTCACTGGCAAACCTATTCCTGCCTAACCTCACTCTTCTGTTAATACTTGTACCGGAACTATTTCTGTCTCCCTGACTGATTGTTCTGTCTACAACAAGGACTGGTCAGAGTGTGAAAATGACTTGCTTGCATGCCTCATTGACTATGATGCAGTAGTAATCCAGTGCTACACTATTCCTCCCAGAGGCTAATGTAAGTCCTACACCAATATTGTAGGACTTACAATATTGGTGTATTGTATGGGAGAGGTCATATCTACTTCTGTAGATATGACCTCTCCCATGAAGTTTACATTGGTGGAGTGTCCTGCCCTATCTGACCCTATCAACCCCTTCCCCATTAGTGTCAGAAATGTTGGCATTTTGGCCACCCAGTTAAACACTGTTGCTCCACAGCCTGCTGCCCTCTGTGTGCCCAACCTGGTCTTGACCAGGTTGTTTAGTCATGCACATGTGCCAATTGTGGTGGCTCACATAATGTATTTTATAGGAGCTGCCCTGCCTAGAAGCTTGAATCTGAGGTGGCAGTTCTCAGATTCAAACTAGGCCTAGTCTGTGTGAGGGCAGGCAAGAAACATCTATTTCAAAACTATACTTTGTTCCATTCCCCTCTGATCTCAAGAAGTCAGAATCTCCTCATCCCTCTACACTGGACCATCCTATCTGTATTCCCTCCCTCCCCCAGTCCAAAATTCCTTTTTCAGTCTAAATCTAAATACTCTAATCTCTACCAATTCCCTGGTGCTTACCACTCATCCTCCTCACTCTACCTCTCACACCAGACAATCACCAGACCTTTGTTTCTCAGACCTCCCCACCCAACTACCCTCCAGAAACTTTTGAGGACATTTAAAACTTCTTATACATGACCCAAAAGCTCCCTCATCCACCCTTTAATCCGTCTATTCCTATTTGGTCAACATTCAAAGTATTTACCGATCCTCCTCCTCCTCCTGCTCAGGTTCCCCCTATCCATCTTCCTCCCACTCTCCTAAAAAACACCCCATCCTCTCCTCCTCCATGTGCATCACCATTCCTTTTTTCTTCCCCATTATCCTTACCACTCCCACATAGAAGCTCATGTGACTACCTTATGTCACAACAATGTCCTTCTCTGGATCCCTTCTCTCCTGATATTTTTCCTGGTACTTCACCACCTTCCCCGGTTCACTTATCTTATTCTTTGGATTCTACCCATTGCTACCCATATTACCCTTTGCTTGTTTCAGAATTGCACTTTTGAAGTTTTCCTCATACAGTAGTAATCTTCACTCCACAGATACATACTCTCCCTTTGATCTGATCACCCTGTAATCCCTTCTCCTTTTACAAATCAGTGTTCTACAACCTTTGACATCAAACATCAACTCCTATCCACCCTTTTTACTTCAATACTTTACTATATGCTATATGACTTTTGATGTCTAGCCCATTTATTTCTGCCAACCATTAACCCCACTTTGTTACTGACATAAGTGATTGGCCAGAATTTTTATTTCTTCCATTTCTTTTGAGCTGGTCTTCCATACATATGCATTGGCAAGTTATCTAGTAGAAAATTATTGTGATAGATAATTAATCATCTTTATTTTTAGATCCACTATATGGAATGATAAAGCTGATACTACGATCCCAACCACAACCTTCAGTTAGCTGCAATGAACCTGACTTGAATTCTGAAGGCTCAAGAAAAACACGGTAAAAATCTTCATTAATATTTTATTTAGATAAGATAACAGTAAATTTGATTATTCCTCAGTTTGGTCTCCAACTACATTCCCATTTTCAAAAAAGATTATGAAAAATTATAATATTGAAATTTTGATACTGCAT